GGGAGGGGAGGGGTATACTCTGTTTCAGAGTTAAGATTTGCTCCAAAATGGCCACCAAATTTAGTAACTTCTATAGCTTGAGACAGGGTTCCCGCGGCCTCCTTGAATTCAAGGAGTCCTTGAAAACTGCTTGAATTTGCATTCAAGGGAAAATGTCCTTGAAAACTCCTTGAATTTGCATTCAAGGAAAAATGTCCTTGAAAACTCCTTGAATTTTGCCAGATCGGACAGGGACACGTGTACAGGGTGACTGCCAGGCCCCGGGAATCCCAGGGGCCCCTGGAATTACCCGGTCATTTGAAAAAAATCGCCGAGACCCGGAATGCAACGGGAATTTGAAGAAATCTGTAAATTGCCTCGTGAAAGACCTGGGAAAATACATAAACGTTCTCGAATATTTGAAAACCAAATCCGATAACGTCCTTGAGTTCATTTTTGCCGGTCGTGGTTGTGATATAAAATTCATTCGGCCTTTCCCGGCCTGAGAGTACGTTACCCGCGCACAGGCGGTTATGGCGGCAACAAGTGGAAGTGTATGTGCGATACCGAAGCCCGATTGGCAAAACTCAAGATCTACTTTTGCTTTCGTTACCACTTAGAAATTTGCCTGTGGGACCTATAGTAGTCTGATAGCGCCACATTTCTAACATGCAGGTTCTGCATTACAAACGCTGTGTCGCCATGAAAATAAATCTTTTGTCCTGTGCTGTCACTTGTGGAAAAAAAAAAAGAAAGAAAAAGAAAGTTATACAAGCTTTTTGTCGGGCTCGCCATCGTGACCGGTCATTGAACCTGTGCATTTTCGTCACATCGTGAGTAGCGCGATGGTTGAGGTCACCAAAGTTCATGCAAAGTCTGAGCGCTGCGAAGTATAGGACTCGGGAATGGGGGGATTATTGATTATTTTTTTTAAGACGCACGCGAGGGAAAGGGGGGGGGTGAAGGCAACACCGGATGACAAAAACTAAACTTGGAAGCAGATTTTACTTTTCAGAATTTTGATTACTACTATCTAAATCTCAAGCTCTCTGCAATGCGCGCGTTGGTGCAGGCCTTGTATGGAATCGGGATCTGTCATACTCAAACCTTGTAAGCCGTGTGTTTGTGACTAAAGGGTTCCCGTTTCATTGGGTAGGTGATAGTAAATTATATGTACAGTAGTCTCCGCCTAAGATCCCACCACTTACGATCCCGGTTCGCTTAAGATCCCGCTGTTTTAAGAAAACAGAATTTTTACTATACAAAAGTCACCCCTAAGATCCCGCTCTGATTCACTCTTAAAAAGGTCTACATTCAGCTAAGATCCCGCATTTCAGATTATAATTTGCGGAACAAAAACTCGGGCGGGCACAGCCGATCAACCAAGGGGGAAAAGTTGAGATCAATAAATTGTCCGTCGCGTCAAAGATCAGCCACTATCGTGAATGTGATCACATACAGGTTGTAAAACTCGATGAAGCGATGCAATGTTTGCCCCAGACGAGATCACACCGGGGTGTGAACTGACCGACACGTTTATTTTCCCCACGTATCGCACTCACACCTGAGCTCTCACCCTAAACTTACATCACTCGCTGGGTGGGTAGGGCCTATACGTTCGCTCCAGGCAGGATCACATCGAATCGTGAACTCTTCCCCGACCATTGCAGCAGTTGTCTCTACTCCCGAATTTGCGAGACAGACTGAATTTTAATTGGTGTGTTCACAGCGTAATGGTGTGTAACGACAAAGGCCGTGGGGGGGGGGGGGCTCGGTCAGAGATTGCAAGCTATACATTTTCGACAGGTAAAGGGGAGGGGCAGCTGGATAAGCGTAGATCTTGAGACTCATGATAGGATAATTCGTGAAAAATGGCACGCTTCATGCCACTATGCACTGTGATAGGTCATCAAGGTTAACCACACTTTGCTCGCCTTATGTCATAAACCCACCAAGGGGTCACGTCACGTCAGTTCATTTTAGAGTGGAGAGAGACCATTTTACCGATTGTGAGCCTTAACATGGGTCACCATAGATTCTTCCCTGGATTCGTCGGTTAAGATCCCGGTTCGCTTAAGATCCCGCATTTCTTGGCTCCCGAACACCAGGATCTTAGGCGGAGACTACTGTATTGTATTCTCTATCTGAGCTTTCTGTTCAAGATTTTCAGAGTCACTGCGTCTTGCCCTCCCACAGTTTTTACACCTCTCACACTGAATAGGTCTACTTGAGACATTCATGTTATTACTCTATTTTTAGTTAGAGTAATAATTTTTATCTTTTACATTTATTGTATAAACCTTGACACCCAGACTGGTTCTTGACAGTGGATATTCTGATTCTAGGCCTTTTCTCAGGCTCAAAGCAAGATTCATTTTTATATAGTTTATATAGGGGAATATGATGAGGGGAAAATATAAATAAGTAAGAACTGACTGAAATACCTAAGTCACAGTATCCCAGTGCCACACTGACATGTTGCTGACTGGAATGTACCTACATGCGTGCGTGCGCCCCCCCCACCGGAAAATTGAGAAGCCGGGTTGGCAGTCACCCTGCGAACAGTTTTTGTAGGGAAATCGAAACTATGATATGATTCTTTTCGGACAAGTGTAGACCTTCGAAAATAGGCTTTTGTCATGAATTTCTTGACCAAATCTCCTTGAATTTTAAAAATTTCGCCTTGAAACCTCCTTGAAATCTCCTTGAATTTGGTGGGAAGTTCATGGCAGGAACCCTGTTGAGAGTCTTTGAAAACTGAAAATTTACATATTTTGTGCCATTGATCAATGTTTTCCAGTAAAATTCACATGGAAATGTGCTTTTATATGAATGTAAAAAGTGTTGAGCCAAAAAACAAAGTTCTGATTAGAATTGCTAAACTGTAGGAATAATGCCTATTTCTTCGATTACTTATTTTGACAAGCGCTTGATTTCACCATGCTGCCTCACATTTCTTCTACCTTAGGGATCTTTTGTATAAGCTGCCAGTATTCTCTGTACAGTCGGCTTACTTTTCTTGTAATAGTTCGGCTGTTTGCTGTTGTGTGCAGAAGACCTGAGGTCATTTCCTGCGCGGGGAAGTTACTATTTTGAGTGTTCGTCTTTGTGCCGTGGTACTGTATCTCTCCTAACTAGTGGATGGTTTGTGGGAGCTCTGGTGTGGTTTGCTCCTTTTTTCTCATCAAGCATCTATCGTCCTTATTTCTTCCTCCTTTTTTGTGTAGGTTACTCTCTTGTAGCACTTTTTAACCTTCGACTCTCATATGATGACCTTATTGGGTTTCATGTGCAGTAAAACTTGTACTAAAACTAAACCTGATTTTGTAATTTATCTAGTTCTTCAGTGTATTTGAAGTGAGTTAGTGGTTGGTTGGCGGGTGCTCTTGTGTGGTTTGCTTTTTTTTTTTTATCCAACATCTTTCGTCCTCATATAATATCTTCCCATCTTTTCTTTTTTTTGGGGGTGTATTTTGCTTCTTCTTTCCTATCAAATATCTATCGTCCTTATCTCCCCTTCTTCTTTTTTATGTTTGTTACTCTCTTGTAACACCTCTAATCTTCTGGCGCTCATATGACCGCATGCAGTTGCGAGCACCGTAAAACCCTCTACTAAAGCTAAAAAACTTTTTTTGTATTTGTTACTCTCTTGTAACACCTCCAATCTTCGGCACTTGTATAACCCTATTGTGTTGCAAGTGCTGTAATACTCTTACGAAAAGTAAGAAGTGAGTTACTGAGTAAGTGTGTTTTTTTATTCCGTTCCCAGGAAGTTTTCCAGTTTTAAAAGGTTCCGGCTGGGGAAACGGAAAAGAAGATGCAAAGAGTGCAAAGGCTGTTTGACTCCAGAATGTGGCAACTGCGTTTTTTGCAAGTAAGTTTTGCTTTTGAAAAAGAGTCTTTCATTGTCTTTTTGTGCGTATGTTCTTCTTTTTTTTTCTTCAGAACTTTTGGTATATATTATGGGTGCACATGTATTGAAAAATGATTGTTGTACACTGAATGGACCAATATTTTTAGGACTTTTTCATGGTATAAGCTGTGGATATTTCATTTTATTGTGAAGCCCGCGGAGCTACCTGGGAGTGGGCTCTCAATAGAAGAAGTGATCTTTGTTAACTCTTTCACTACCGCGAGCCGTGTCTCACAGCTCTCCACTTCCTGCTTCAAAATTTAAACTACTTTTGTAATAATCAAGTCTGAAATTTGAAGCTGAAGAATGATCGTTTTTAGCAGCATGTAGAGATAGGTCATTATTTCCCCTTTGTTTCCGTATATAATACGTGTGGCTAGTATTGAAAATTGAACGTAAAAACTCTCTTCCTTCTTTTTTGTGTATGTTACTCTCTTGTAACGCACCTATACTCCGGCACTTATATGACCTTATTGTGTTGCAAGTTCCGTAAAACTCTTATTAAAACTAAAACTAAAGTCAAGAACTGTGACTGGCTGTTGTTGTGTAGACTTGTGTGCAGCAAACTCAATTTGGTCATGTTTTTTTTTTGTGAATTATTTTTTTTGGGTTCTTTTCCCCTCAGAGACAAGCCCAAGTTTGGTGGCCCTGGGAAGATGAAGAAAAGCTGCATGTGAGTGTTGGTTGTTGGCAGATGCTCTGGTGTGGTTTGCTCCTTCTTTCCTATCAAACATCTGTCTTTATCTCCCCCTCCTTCTTTTTATGTGTTTGTTACTCTCTTGTAACATCTCTAATCTTCGGCACTTATATGACCTTATTGTGTTGCAAGTGCCGTAAAACTTTTACTAAAACTAAACTCAGCTTTGGGATGTTCTTGATTTTCCCCCTTTAAAAAAATGTCTTTGGTTCACTTTGGAAACTCAAGTTTTAATGCAATCTATAGAGAATTTAAAATTGAGCGTATTCTTACAGTTGTGTAAGATTGAAATGTAATCCGTCTTGCGTGGTGTGAACTATAGAAATATGATTGTTTGTCTTAATAAGTAACATGATTCGGGGGGGGGGGGGGCTACTGGTAGATCTAACTTCTTTTCTTTACCTCTGTTGTTTCTATCTTTCTTGCTACTTCCATGCACTATAATATGTGAAGCGTGCTTACAAAATGAGTTACTTCTCAGATTCAAGCCTTAAGGAAATAGATAAAGCATGCTTATAGGTGAAGATTTTACTGTTTATAAGTATGAAATAATAAAAGACAGGTTATAGTTAAAAGAATATGGCATCAATTGAAAATCTACAAGTTTGACCATAATAATGTCTATTTTTGGCCAATATCTCCACTTGTGGATTGCGAGAAGTAACTCATTTTGTCAGCATGCCTCACATATGTTTGTTATTGTGTGGATGTTTTGCTCTTTACTCCAACTCAAATCATAATTCTTAGTTTTTATTGTTCTTTTTGTCCTAACAATAAATAAGATGTTCTTAATTCTTAGTGCTCTGGTATGGTTTGCTCCTTCTTTCCTATCAAACATCTATCGTCCTTATCTCCCCTCCTTCTTTTTTGTGTTTGTTACTCTCTTTTAACACCTCTAATCTTCGGCACTTATACGACCTTATTGTGTTGCAAGTAGCAATGCCAATCGCATACCTGCCAACCCTATAGAAAAAATCGGTAGATCACCGACTTTTGGGTCAAACTACCGATCCACCGATTTTGAGATGAAGCCATCGACTTCGGGATTCAGCAGGGTGACTGCCAGGCCCCGGGAATTTGAGAAAGTTATCAAATATTTGAAAACCAAATCCGATAACGCCCGAAAGTTCATTTTTGCCGGTCGCGATTGTGATTCATTCGGCTCCCTCGAGAGTATGTTTCTTCATGCAGACAGGCGGCTATGGTGGCAAGCGAGTGTGATACCGACGTTTGATCGGGATAATCAAGATATACTTTCACTTTCGTTACCACCCAGAAATTTGCTGGTAGTAGTTTGATAACGCAACATTAATTGTAAGAACATGCTGGCTGTGCATGGCAAACGCTGTGTCGCCTTGAAAATAAATCAATATTTGTGCTGTGCTGTCACTTATGAAGAAAAAGAAAAGAAAAGAAAGTTATGGTTATACAAGCGTCTTGTCGGGTTCGCCATTGTGACCGGTCAATGAACTTGCGCATTCCATCACATTGTGAGCACGGGCACTTGTAGGGGTCACCAAAGTTCATTCAAAGTCTGAGCGCTGCGTAGTATAGGACTCCGGAATGGGGGGAGGATTATTTTTTTTAAAGATACACTCGGGGGAGGGGGGTGTGGGGGTGTGAAGGCAACACCAGGGGACAAAAACTGAACTTGGAAGCAAATTTTAGTATTCTAAATTTTTGATTACCTCTAGATCTAGAAAACTCTGCAAAACGCGTGTTGGTGCAGGCCTTGTGTGGACTCGGGATCCGTCATACTCTTTCCTTGTAAACTCTGCAAAGACACAAGGCCAAGGCTAGGCCTAAGTCATCCAAGGCCCACCTTTTCTTCATCTTTGCTTCTTTGCTTCTGTTTTTGTTTGTTTGTTTGTTGTTGTTGTTTTTTTTGGGGTGGGTTGTGGTTTTTTGGTTTCATTTGTGTGTGCAAGGTCCCCACCAGGTCGGGAAAAAGTCGGGACTTTTGAGATGGGTCGGGAAAAAGTCGGGAATTTTGTGATGGGTCGGTAAGTCGGGAAAGTAGGATAGGGCCTGTGTAATGTGTAGCTATCTAGACTGTATGGTTGATGAATCCTGAAGAGGAAACGTAATTGAACCGCTACGGCGGAAGTGTATGAGTGACACAGAGGCTCGATCGGGAAGAATTAAGATCTACTTTCGCTTTCGTTACCGCCCAGAAATTTTCCGGTAATAGTCTGATAGATAACCCAACATTTGCAACATGCAGGTTATGCATTATGAACTCTGTGTCGCCTTGAAAATAAATCAATATTAAAAATTGCCCTCTGCTGTCGCTTGTAGGGGGGGAAAAAAAGATCTTAGGCTATACAAGCGTCTTGACAGGATCGCCCTCATGACCGGTCAATGAACCCGTGAGTACCGGCGGTCTGAGCGCTGTGAAGTATAGGACTCCTTTATAAGATACACTCATGGAAGGGGATTGGGGGGGGGGGGGGGGAGCTGAAGGCAACGCTAGAGGACAAAAACTGAACTTGGAAGCAAATTTTTAGCATTTTGATAACTACCTTAGAGCTCTCTGCAAAGCGCGCGTTGGTGCAGGCCTTGTGTGGAATCGGGATCGTCATGCCTTGTTATTGAACTAAAGTGTTCGCGTTTCATAGGATGGGGTGATTGTAATTTATATCTAGATCTATATTTTAGCTTTCTGTTCAAGATTGGCAGATTTTCAGTGTCACTGCATCTTGCCCTCCCTCAGTTCTTACACCTCTCACACTGAATAGGTGTACTTGAGCTATTCAAGTTATTACACTAATATTACTCTACTTTGAGTTTGAGCAATAGTTTTCGTCTTCACGTTTATTATATGAACCATGACGCCCAGACTGGTTATTGACAGTCGATATTCTAGTTCTAGGTCTTTTCTCAGGCACAATGTGTGTTCGTGCAGGTATGAATAGGACAGGAACTGCACCAACTACTAATAGGGTAAATGCCTCTGGTAGTTTTCATATTTTTCTCTTTTTTTTTTTCTGTCATTTTCTACATTTGTTTGAAGTCCCAAACACTATCATGCATATTTGATGTGGGTCAAAATAAAATATTGATAAGGGTCCCAAATTAAGTATGCGACAAGAGGTAATATAGCCTACTACAGATTTTTTAGGTCAACTACAGATTTTTGGACAAAAATTTGCGTCCAACTACAGATTTTGGCCCAGGCAATGTTGGCAGGTATGACATCGGGCTGTCCCGCGAGGCGAACATTTGGTCCCCGTTTACGGGCGATTTTGCGGACCCGGCCGAAGCGTAGGTGACTAACTTTGTCAACCTTGGTCTGCTCTATTTCCGAACCAATCCGAATGAAACTCGGCAACCAATCAGAAAATAGGGCAAACTAATGATATGTGGACGTTGAAGTTCGTACACATAAATTAACCTATACTTTTGGTGTCGGGAACAGTTTCGTATCGTGTACACCGAAAACTATAAGGAGTTTGAATTTCAACGCCGAGATGGTAATAGATCTATCTATCCTCTATAGTGTGCTCAAATTTGAACGTTCTGTGTCAAGTAGTTGTTTAGACCCGATCATAAATGCACGACTACCCCACTATCCAAAGCGGCTTCGCACGGAGACCGGCCATTTTCTCCTCACTCTCGTGGCAAATGTATGTGACCTACAAATCCCCGCATGACTATTCCGGGCCCGTTCATTGGTCACTTGAAATAGGGCAATGGCGGGCGCGCGCATCCGGTTGTTTTTCTCTCTATTCCCCCGTAACATCGCAATGGGGGTATTCCGAGGCGAGGTTATCTCGTCTCGGGGTGTTCGCGTCTCAACGGGGAAAAAGAATTTTTAATTGTACGGCATGCTAGATTGAATTAACTTATCTTTTACGGTTGGCAAGGTCTAAAGTCATCATAAAAAGCTTTGCAATTATTTAGTTACGCTGCCGAAATATATTCTTAAAGATCCCATGTTGGGATACGATGCTATAAATAAAATGGACTCATCCCGACACCCCTTTTTCGCCAAATCGTAATATGTACACCAAAATTTTAATTATAACAAAATAACTACGAAATTGGTAGTAAATCTAACTGCAGAAATGATTTCTACACTCAAAAACACATCGGGTAGCCAAGTTTCTCTCAAACACTCCGATTAGTTACCGAGATATCGTCGATTTTCTTACAGAATCTGCTACTGCGTGGTCCACTTTTTAGGAATATTTTCCTATATGTGGGTCATCCATATTTTGCCGACCTTTACAACCCCATAACTTTTTTTATTTATGAACCGATTCTCAAAATTCAAAATTCAAGAAGCATGATTCTTAGAATGGAAAATTCTTTCTTAGGTACCAAAAAAAAGGGGGCAAAAGTGAAAATTTAAATTTTCATTGGCATTGCTATTGCAAGCGCCATAAAACCTCTACTAAAACTATACTAAACTCTCTTTTAACACCTGTAATCTTCGGCATTTATATGACCTTATTGTGTTGCTAGTGCCGTAAAACACTTTATAAAACATTTTTAAAAAACCCAACCATTTTTTGATTGTCTGTTGTACTTTTTTTATCGGCAGCCACTCCACGTGTCTGTTCCCAAGAATCCCGCGTAGAGTCGTGGATACTTTCATCGAGCCAAAAAGCCCGAGCAAAACGAAGCGAGAGGACGACGACGACAACAGCGGAAACTACCGGCCGACCAGCTCGCTGTCGGTGGTTGGGGACCGCGGCGGCTCGTCTCGCCTCCAGGGGAAGAAGTCGCACGACTACAAGCAGTTGGGGAGTGGTGGGAACGGGCTGCAAGATGGTGTGGGGGGTGAGTTGTCGTCAGAATTTAAAAAAACAACTTGTTCTTGCTTCGTTCGCGTGTAATCAAAAGTTTAGAAATATGTTCTTGCTTCCTTGTAACATGGGACTGAAGTTTAAGAACATGTTCTTGTTTCATTCGCGTGTAATCGAAAGTTTAAAAACATGTTCTGGCTTCCTTGTAACATGGGACTGAAGATTAAGAACATGTTCTTGTTTCATTCGCATGTAATCGAAAGTTTAGAAACATGTTCTCGCTTTATTCGCGTGTAATCAGTTATAAACGTGTTCCTGCTATATTCGCGTGTAATCAAAAGTTAAAAACATGTTCTCGGCTCTTGTAATATGGGACTGAAGTTTAAGAACATGTTCTTGTTTCATTCACGTGTAATCAAAAAAAAAAAAAAAAAGTTCTTTCTTCATTCGCGTGTAATTAAAAGTTTAGAAATATGTTTTTGCTCCATTCATGTGTCGTCAAAATTTTTAAAGCATTTCTTCTTGCTTCACACACGTGCAGTCGAAAGTCTAAAAAGTGCTTCATTCATATGTAATTAAAAATTTAAAAGCATATTTTTGTTTCTTGTAATATTGGACTGAAGTTTGTGGTGCAGTGGCTAGGCTCTTATCGGTTGAATGCAAAAGACGTGAAATCAATTGTGTAGTGGGGATACTAAATTTTTTATTTTTAAAATATTTTTTAATTTTTTATTTATTTATTTTTTTAGCGTCTCCATCTGTCTGCGGAGATACTGTATTTCTTTCAGTGGGTGGTTGGTGGGTGCTCTGGTGTTGTTTGCTCCTTCTTTCCTATAAAAAATCTGATCGTCTTTATCTTCCCTCCTCCTTTTTTTGTGTTTTTTACTCTCTTGTAACACCTCTAATCTTCGGCACTTATATGACCTTGTTGTGTTGCATGCAAGTGCTGTAAAATTCTTTCTAAAACTAAAACAAAATAATGGTGTCGTAAACAGGGCGGCGGGAGAGCCAGGACTTCTCGGAAGGTGACGGGGACGACGACGACGAAGAAGACGACGGTGGCGACGACGATAACGCCGGAGCCAGCCGTGCTGTGAACGGGAAGACGCCGACGAAAACGAAGACAGTGGCGGTGTCGACTAGCAGCAGCGGTGGCGGTCCCCTTCGGGGGGCGACGGCGGTGCGTTCGGGCTTAGACATGGACGGCTCTCACGTCCGCTCCATGGCCGCCGCCGCCACGGCGACGGGTGGAGAGAGGCAGCAGCAACAGCGGCGGCGCACGACGGTGGCCCGCTACAGTAAGGGACAGTACCCCCCGGCAGTGGAGGCCACTATACAACTGGCCCTGGCCGAGGTGCGCAACCCGTTCGTCACTGGGGTGGGCGACGGTTTCGTCGGCAAGATGGGAGGCTTCAAGAGGCGAGAGAAGGTAGGACATTTTTTAGTCTCCCCCCCCCCCCCACCCAAAAAAAACCCCACATCTGATAAAAAAAACATGTAAGTTATTTGATTACCATATCGACAGGCCGAAGGGCTAGAACTCAGTTCGCCGCTGGGTCGGAAGGTTGTTGAAAAAGTAAAGTTTAAATAGTTAAAGTATCTCTTTTTTTTTCTGTTCATTTTTTTATCTGTAAATTTCGTAAATTAATTTTTAAAGAAAATTTCATCCATTTCAATGGGGGAGAGATGGTACTTGTTGCTTTGGTTGTTCTGCTCTTTATCATTGGTTGTCGTCAATTTTTCTTTTTTCAGATCACCCAGGGAATAAAAGGATGGTTTTTGTCATGATTTTCAAACTCCTCATTTTTTTCTGTTCAAATAAAAATAGTGTTAAGAAAAAGGAATACCACGGAAAAAAATACCATCTTGCATTGCTAGGAAGAATACGGAAACATTTTTGTAGTTTGATAGTCATTGCTGGAGTGCTGACAAGGCGTGCCGATTTTTTCACGCTTCTGCTTCCTCATTGGTTGGTTGTTGTTGTTGTTCTCAAGTCCCTTTAGCTGCGAGCATTTCGCTCTTGGCAGCGCAATGCCTCCCTCAAGTAACAACATGTCCTTGTCATCTGGTCAACGCCAGAGTAGAGCAGGCTTTGTAAGTCTGTAGGTGTGGGTAGGAGCCTGCGTCGAAGAACTGCCAGGTTTGGGCAATGAAGGAGGAGATGTTCAACGGTCTCCTTGTGGTAGTCACAGTGTCTGCAATGGGATTCACTCATGGGATTAATTCTGTTTATGTGCTTGTTGGTGTGTAAGTGTCCTGTGCGGGCTCATTGGTTGGTTAAATCGCTGTCTCCAGATGTCACTGCTACAAAAGATGCCGACCAAGGAGCTTCAGATTGTGGAGACAGAGACGGCCTACTCGTTCGACATCCCCCTCAAGACGCATCTCATCAGGGCCGACTTCAGGGTCAGTTCATTTTCTTCTTTTTCTTTTTCTTTTTCTTTTCTTTGTGTTTCTGCGTGGTGGATTTGTGTTACAAGTACTGTAAAACTCTTACCAAAACTCTTTTTCTTTTTCTTTTCTTTGTGTTTCTGCGTGGTGGATTTGTGTTACAAGTACTGTAAAACTCTTACCAAAACTCTTTTTATTGATATTTTCTTTGCGTTTCCCCCTGCTGGATTTGTGTTACAAGTACTGTAAAACTCTTACCAAAACTCTTTTTATTGATATTTTCTTTGTGTTTCCCCCTGCTGGATTTGTGTTACAAGTACTGTAAAACTCTTACCAAAACTCTTTTTATTTATATTTTCTTTGTGTTTCCCCCTGCTGGATTTGTGTTACAAGTACTGTAAAACTCTTACCAAAACTCTTTTTATTTATATTTTCTTTGTGTTTCCCCCTGCTGGATTTGTGTTACAAGTACTGTAAAACTCTTACCAAAACTCTTTTTATTTATATTTTCTTTGTGTTTCCCCCTGCTGGAAGTGGCGTCGGTAGCCTAGTGGTTAGGCTACCGGACTCGTAATCGTGAGATTGTGGGTTCGGGGGTTCGAGTGTCAGCTCGACCTGACGTTGTGTCCTTGGGAAAGGCACTTTACACGAACTTCCCACTTGGCTCAGTCCTATCGGAGACGGACGTTAAACTAGGAGGTCCCGCCTCTTTAATAACCTAATAGTGTTGATAGGGGCGTTAAACTCATACCATTTTCTTCCCTGCTGGATTTGTGTTGCAAGTGCCGTAAAACTCTAACTAAAACTAAAACATCTGTCGTCCTTATTTTTCCTTCTTTTTTGGGTATGTTACTCTCTTGTAAACACATTTATTCTTCAGCACTTATTTATAACTTTATTGTGTTGCAAGTGCTGTAAAACTCTTACTAAAACTTTGAAGAAATTTCCCTGTTTAAGGAGGAGGACTACGACGTGGAGACCATCTGGTCGTATGGACTGGCCTTGACGGTGACCCGCTTAATTTGTACAAATGCTGTTTTTTATTTATTAATTTATTATTTATCCCCCCCACCCCCTGTTTCTAAGGAGGAGGACTACAACGTGGAGACAATCTGGTCCCAGGGACTGGCCCTGACGCTGACCCTGTAAATTTGTACAAATGTTGTTTATTTATGTATTTATTTATGTATTTATTTATTTATTTTTCCGTTTCTAAGGAGGAGGACTGCGACGTGGAGACAGTCTAATCACAGGGACTGGCCCTGACGGTCACCCAGTAAATTTATACAAATGTAGTTTTTTATTTATTTATCTGTCTATTTATTTATTTTTCCGTGTTTCTAAGGACTACAATGTGGAGACCATCTGGCCGCAGGGACTGGCCCTGACGGTGACTTTGTAAATTTGTACAAATGCAGTTATTTATTCATTTATTTATTTATTTATTCATTCATTCATTCATTTATTTTCCCCTGTTTCTAAGGAGGAGGACTACGACGTGGAGACTATCTGGTCACAGGGACTGGCCTTGACCGTCACCCGGCCCAGCTGTGTGCGCACCCTGTGTTATCTGTGTGGCTCTGCCGGCAAACACGAGGTGAGTTCTAGTTGTTAAAAATAGAATAATAAATTACACTTTTGTTGATCCCAGAAGGGCAATTTGGTTTACTGTGGCATAGGCACACACATTAGCAATGACAATGAAAAATTAAATTTTCATCCGAATTGCTTAAAAATGGGCTTAAATGAAACTAGAGTAAATTCTAAGAACTGTGGTTTTTAAATTTAAAAAATCCATTGATAAATAAAAAAGTTATTGGGATTTTTGTTTGCAAAATGTTGGAGGACCTTCATATAGGAAAATATCGCCAAAATGTGGGACATGTTTTGATGTATTTTGAGGAAAAACTGTTCATAAGTCAGTAATGAATTGGAGCATATGAATGAAACTTGGCATCTCCATGTAATTTTTAGTGCCAAATCTAGTTCTGCTATCACTTTTTCGTTGTCTTCATTACTTTGGATCTTAAAGACTGATATTTGCGTGAAATTTGTTGAATTGCGTGACATCGTTTTTACCGCGACGCGATCACCCCTTTTAAAACTCAGTAAAGCGCTATCGGGAAAACCCGCGATGTAGTCATCGGTGACCCATTTGGTTATAGGCAGCCAATCACATGCCGCCTAGCGATCACGCGCCTCTTGCATGCCGGCACCTCGCGTTTGGAATGCGCGATTAAGTTTCTAGATCTAGTGTTTTATCAATGGGTGGGTGGTAATTTTAAGTTGGTACGGAAAATCTACTAAACGCAGAGATCTGAAATTTTACAGCAATAAAGAAGACATGTGGGGCGCTTGTGTGGTCGGCGATCAACCCGCAGCTCCGCTTAGTTTTCGAACCGCAGAGGAAATTCTCACAAACACGGCAATATCTCCGGTTCTAGTAATCGTTCGGGATTGTACACTGGCATGTCGTTAGTTTAACCTTTCCTCTGGTTGGTTGCCGAGTTTCATTTATTTTCGTCCAGGACTTTTCCCGTAACTAAACTTAGAAGAGAGTCACTTCTGATTCTGACGGCCCAAAAAATACCCCTCGTGCGGAGGCCGATTTCCGGCACAAGGCGCAGCGGGCGATTGGCATTGCTACACACATACACACACTACTCTTTTATTGATCCCAGGAGGGCAATTTGGTTTACTGTGATCAACAAAAGAGTAATCTATTATTTATTTTTCATACGCACGCGCAGGCACACACACACACACCTACACACACAGAACAATCCACAACCATGCCACAAACAAAAGTCCCAATAACTTGTTAGAACATACAATATAATCAGCATTGCCAAAATTCAAGTAATGAAAGTCTACAAAAATTCAGACGCACTAAACGCTACTGTCGACGGGACACAGCTCAAACCAGTTGAGGAATTGAAATACCTGGGGGAGCCTATGACCGCACATGAGGAAAGGTAATTGGACAGGGAGATTGAAAGGAGGACCAAAAGGCAAAGGCAGTTGGCACCACTACTCACCCCCTAAACACCTACAATGGAAGGAAAAAGACAACTTATCACAAGCATATTCCTCCTCGCAAAACAAAAAAATGTAAAAAAAATTTTTCTCAACTCCCCAGCTCATCTTCTGCATTGTGTGCTGCCAGCCCTACCACAGCTTCTGCCTGGAGGAAGACGAGCGACCGGAGGACAGTTGTAACGAAGAGGATGGTGACGAGAGCGATGACCACCACCACCACCACCATCATCATCCACCGCACGGCAACAGCAGCAACAGCAGCCTCCTCTCGTGGTGTTGTCGGCGGTGTCAGTTCTGCCACGTGTGTGGACAGCAGAATGGGCTGTTGAAGGTGAGGGCTATCATCTTTATCTCCCCTCCTTCTTTTTTGTGTTTGTTACTCTCTGGTAACACCTCTAATCTTCGGCATTTATTGTAGGACTTTATTGTGTTGCAAGTGACTTTAAACACAACCCCCCCCCCTCCCAAGATCTAAAAATAATTTGTAAAAATATATTATGTCGTCAGTGCCACCGGTGCCGGGACACGTACCACCCGGAGTGCCTGGGGCCCAACTACCCCACGAAGCCGTCGCGCAGCAACATCTGGGTGTGCACCAAGTGTGTGCGCTGTAAGAGCTGTGGGGCCACTACGCCGGGTGTGGGAACCAACGCCACCTGGACCTACGACTTCTCCCTCTGCCACGAGTGTGGGAAACTGATGGATAAAGGTCTGTGTTTTGTTTTTGTGTGGGTGTGTATGTATGTGTCTGTGTGTGTGTGTTTCTCCTATGACCGTATGCAGTTGCAAGCAACATCTGGGTGTGCACCAAGTGTGTGCGCTGTAAGAGCTGTGGGGCCACTACGCGGGGTTGTGTGTGTGTGTGGACTGGACCTACGACTTCTCCCCCTGCCACGAGTGTGGGAAACTGATGGATAAAGGTCTGTTGTTTGTTTTTGTGTGTGTGTGTATGTATGTGTCTGTGTGTGTGTGTTTCTCCTATGACCGTATGCAGTTGCAAGCGCCGTTTAACCTTGTTAAAAGAGCACAAACATCGTCTTTTTTCCTGCAGGTAATTTCTGCCCCGTGTGCCACAAGTGCTACTCTGACGACGACTGGGAGTCGAAGATGGTGCAGTGTGCCGTGTGCGAGAGCTGGGTGCACTCCAAGTGCGAAGAGCTCACAGGTAATCACATTGTCAGACATACCGCGACCTCAATGCTTTTTTTGTTGCTCAGGTTGTGATACACGTTTCCTTATCGTCTGTAGGCTCATTTCCAAATTTTCACGCTGTGTAATGAAAATGATAGTATTTATAATACCAATAATGATAACAATAACAATAATTATATTTATAATAATGATAATATTAATAGTTTGTCCGTCATGCACTGATTATAACTTTTGAACATTCTAGGTGAGAGGTTGACGGGTGCTCTGGTGTGGTTTGCCCCTTCTTTTCTATGAAACATCTCTCCCCTTTCTTCTTTTTTATGTTTGTTACTCTCTTGTGGCGCTCATATAACCTTATGCAGTTGCGAGCGTCGCAAAACTCTTACTAAAACGTGGATGGTTGGCGGGTGCTCTGGTGTGGTTTGCTCCTTCTTTCCTATAAAAAAATCTATCGTCCTTATCTCCCCTCCTTCTTTTTTGTGTTTGTTACTCTCTTGTAACACCTCTAATCTTCTGGCGCTCATATGATCTTATGCAGTTGCGAGCTCCGTGAATCCTGTACTAAAACTAAAACTACTACAGGTAGTATCATAGAATCTTCCCTGATGACATATGAAGACGACAGGGTTTCCCCTGAAAATCGTGAGGGTACCAATTTTGAAGGCTTGTTGACTCATAACTGTATTTCTGTTCCACTGTTGGTTGATTATTGTGGTTAGATTTCCCATTCAACAACACTTAACAATAAACCACCAGTCAAACAAAGATGAAGTTACGAGTCCACAAGCTTTTAAAATTGGCACCCTCACAATTTCCAGTTTGCGACTACCGTCGTTTTTCCCCTGTGCTCTTCATATGTTTTGATATTGCTTTCCTGAATTGAAAGCTTCAGTAATAATAATAATAATATAATAATTATTATTAT